GGACACCGGGGGGACACCGACACCCCGATCTGGGGGTCTGCAGGTGGGGAATCCCCCCAACATTCCCGATCCTGGGGGGATATGAACACCCCATTTTGGGGGTCTGCAGGTGGGAATCCCCCCGACATTCCCTGATCCCATGGGGGATATGAACACCCCATTTTGGGGGTCTCCAGGTGGGGAATCCCCCCGACATTCCCAATCCCATGGGGATATCAACACCCCATTTTGGGGGTCTGCAGGTGGGGAACCCCCCCGACATTCCCTGATCCCAGGGGGATATGAACACCCCATTTTGGGGGTCTCCAGGTGGGGAATCCCCCCAACATTCCCTGATCCCGGGGGGATATGAACACCCCATTTTGGGGGTCTGCAGGTGGGGAATCCCCCCCAGCATTCCCAATCCCAGGCTGGGGGTTCCTGGTGGGACACCCACACTTTTTTGGGGTCTTCAGGTGGGGATTGCCCCTGACATTCCCTGATCCTCCCTGAGGGGACATTGGGGGGTCCCAGAGGGACATTGACACCCCATTTTGGGGGTCTGCAGGTGGGGAATCCCCCCAACATTCCCTGATCCTGGGGGGATATGAACACCCCATTTTGGGGGTCTCCAGGTGGGGAATCCCCCCGACATTCCCAATCCCATGGGGGATATGAACACCCCATTTTGGGGGTCTCCAGCTGGGGAATCCCCCCAACATTCCCTGATCCAGGGGGGATATGAACACCCCATTTTGGGGGTCTGCAGGTGGGGAATCCCCCCGACATTCCCTGATCCCAGGGGGATATGAACACCCCATTTTGGGGGTCTGCAGGTGGGAATCCCCCCGACATTCCCTGATCCCGGGGGGATATGAACACCCCATTTTGGGGGTCTCCAGGTGGGGAATCCCCCCAGCATTCCCTGATCCCATGGGGATATAAACACCCCATCTTGGGGGTCTCCAGGTGGGGAATCCCCCCAACATTCCCTGATCCTGGGGGGATATGAACACCCCATTTTGGGGGTCTCCAGGTGGGGAATCCCCCCGACATTCCCTGATCCTGGGGGGATATGAACACCCCATTTTGGGGGTCTGCAGGTGGGGAATCCCCCCGACATTCCCCATCCCATGGGGATATGAACACCCCATTTTGGGGGTCTGCAGGTGGGGAATCCCCCCCGACATTCCCAATCCCAGGGGGATATGAACACCCCATTTTGGGGGTCTCCAGGTGGGGAATCCCCCCGACATTCCCGATCCTGGGGGGATATGAACACCCCATTTTGGGGGTCTCCAGGTGGGGAATCCCCCCGACATTCCCTGATCCCAGGGGGGATGTGAACACCCCATTTTGGGGGTCTCCAGGTGGGGAATCCCCCCATCATTCCCAATCCCAGGCTGGGGGTTCCTGGTGGGACACCCACACTTTTTTGGGGTCTTCAGGTGGGGATTGCCCCTGACATTCCCTGATCCTCCCTGAGGGGACATTGGGGGGTCCCAGAGGGACATTGACACCCCATTTTGGGGGTCTCCAGATGGGGAATCCCCCCGACATTCCCTGATCCTGGGGGGATATCAACACCCCATTTTGGGGGTCTCCAGATGGGGAATCCCCCCCATCATTCCCGACCCCAGGGGGGATATGAACACCCCATTTTGGGGGTCTCCAGGTGGGGAATCCCCCCAACATTCCCTGATCCCATGGGGATATGAACACCCCATTTTGGGGGTCTCCAGCTGGGGAATCCCCCCGACATTCCCGACCCCAGGCTGGGGGTTCCTGGTGGGACACCCACACTATTTTGGGGTCTTCAGGTGGGGATTGCCCCTGACATTCCCTGATCCTCCCTGAGGGGACATTGGGGGGTCCCAGGGGGATATGAACACCCCATTTTGGGGGTCTGCAGGTGGGGAATCCCCCCGACATTCCCTGATCCTGGGGGGATATGAACACCCCATTTTGGGGGTCTGCAGGTGGGGAATCCCCCCGACATTCCCAACCCCATGGGGACATTGACACCCCATTTTGGGGGTCTCCAGGTGGGGAATCCCCCCGACATTCCCCATCCCATGGGGATATGAACACCCCATTTTGGGGGTCTCCAGCTGGGGAATCCCCCCGACATTCCCGACCCCAGGCTGGGCTCTCTGGGGTGACCCTGTGACGTTTTTGGGGTCCCAGGTGGGGACTGTCCCCGTCGCTCGCTGCTCCTGCCCGGGGGGGCTCCCCCTCTGCACGTCCCGGCCGTGCTGGGTGACGGCCCCCCCCAGATGAGACCCTACCACACCATCATCGAGCTCGGCGAGCACAGGTACGGCTCACCTGGCACAGGTGGGACAGGTGACACCCCCACCCCACCCCGGGGACTCCCAGGGACCCCCAAACCCCGGGCCTGGCTCAGGTGGTCCCGACTCACGGTGAGCCGGGTGTCCCCACACCTGGGGTGTGCTCAGGTGCCCCCAGGTGTCCCCCGCAGGTGTGTTCAGGTGAGCTCAGATGTCCCTCAGGTGTGCCCAGGTGTATCCCAGGTGTCTCCAGGTGTACCCCAAGTGTCTCCAGGTACCCCCAGGTGTATCCCAGGTGTATCCCAGGTGTCTCCAGGTACCCCCAGGTGTATCCCAGGTGTATCCCAGGTACCCCCAGGTGTATCCCAGGTGTCTCCAGGTGTATCCCAGTTGTCTCCAGGTACCCCCAGGTGTATCCCAGGTGTATCCCAGGTGTATCCAGGTACCCCCAGGTGTACCCAGGTGTATCCCAGGTGCCCCCAGGTATCTCCAGGTGTCTCCAGGTGTATCCCAGGTACCCCCAGGTGTCCCCAGGTGTATCCCAGGTGCCCCCAGGTGTCTCCAGGTGCCCCCAGGTGTCTCCAGGTACCCCCAGGTGTATCCCAGGTGCCTCCAGGTGTATCCCAGGTACCCCCAGGTGTATCCCAGGTGCCTCCAGGTGTCTCCAGGTGCCCCCAGGTGTATCCTAGGTACCCCCAGGTGTCCCCAGGTGTATCCCAGGTGTCTCCAGGTACCCCCAGGTGTATCCCAGGTACCCCCAGGTGTCCCCAGGTGTATCCCAGGTGTATCCCAGGTGCCCCCAGGTGTCTCCAGGTGCCCCCAGGTGTATCCCAGGTGTCTCCAGGTACCCCCAGGTGTATCCCAGGTGTCTCCAGGTGCGCCCAGGTGTATCCCAGGTCCCCCCAGGTGTATCCCAGGTGCCCCCAGGTGTCTCCAGGTGCCCCCAGGTGTCTCCAGGTGTCTCCAGGTGTATCCCAGGTGTATCCCAGGTGTCTCCAGGTACCCCCAGGTGTCCCCAGGTGTATCCCAGGTGCCCCCAGGTATCTCCAGGTGTCTCCAGGTGTATCCCAGGTACCCCCAGGTGCCCCCAGGTGTCTCCAGGTACCCCCAGGTGTATCCCAGGTGTCTCCAGGTGCGCCCAGGTGTATCCCAGGTCCCCCCAGGTGTATCCCAGGTGCCCCCAGGTGTCTCCAGGTGCCCCCAGGTGTATCCCACGTGTCCCCACAGGAGCAAGGGCTCCCTGAAGGCCAAGAAGTGGAGGTCCATCTTCAACCTGGGCCGCTCCGGGCACGAGGCCAAGCGGAAGCCGGGGAAGGCGGAGGAGAAAGGTGGGAATTCCGGGGGGATCCCACGGACTGGGGGGACGTGTCCCCAAATCCCCCCAACCCCCTCTTCCTGCCCCGTTCCAGACAAGTGTGAGAAGGTCAGTCTGCGGCCGGCCAAGAGCATGGACTCGCTCAGCTCCGGCCCCTCCGGACCCCCAGGTGAGAGGGACCCCCTGAGCCCTCGGGATTATCCCTCCCATCCCTTGGGAATTGTGACTCCGATCCCTTGGGAATTGTGACTCCAATCCCTTGGGAATTGTCCCTCTGATCCCTTGGGAATTGTCCCCCAATCCCTTGGGAATTGTCCCCCAATCCCTTGGGAATTGTCCCTATGATCCCTTGGGAATTGTGACTCCGATCCCTTGGGAATTGTCCCTCCGATCCCTTGGGAATTGTGACTCCGATCCCTTGGGAATTGTCCCTCCAATCCCTTGGGAATTGTGACTCCAATCTCTTGGGAATTGTCCCTCTGATCCCTTGGGAATTGTCCCTCCGATCCCTTGGGAGTCCCCGACAGCAGGGAGGGACTGTCCCATCCCTTGGGATTGTCCCTGAGCCCGAGGTGGGATCCGGGCCAGAGCAGGGATGGGGGAAGTGGGGATGGGATGGGATCCATGGGATCCAGGGATGGGATCCAGGGATGGGATGGGATGGGATGGGATCCATGGGATGGGATGGGATGGGATCCAGGGATGGGATCCAGGGATGGGATCCAGGGATGGGATCCAGGGATGGGATGGGATGGGATGGGATGGGATGGGATCCAGGGATGGGATCCAGGGATGGGATGGGATCCAGGGATGGGATCCAGGGATGGG